TCGATTTTATTTTAACCGTTTTTCCGAGGAGTATTACGCGATATATTTAAGGAACAAATTTGTTGCGAACAAAATTTGACGAACAAATAACTTTTTCAACGAATATTCGAGGCAAAGGTATTACGTCTTTAATTACTCGGGCGAGGAATATTGCGTCGTCAATTTATGAAAATTCCCTTTTACTTCCCCGAGCTCTGTCCACTCTTGCTCTTTGCGCGTCGAATCTATTAGAGGGGATTTACCTCGCGTCGAGGATTTACCGCGCTCCTTTCGAGAAAAACTTTGCCTCGGAGTGGAAGAAGAGGGAAGAAGTCGGCAAAGTCTTGCCAAGATTCTTCTTGGGAAAGAAAGGTGCCCGTTCTTCAACTTTTATCTTCTTTCAACCTTCTAAACGTGATGATGAAACTTGGGCGAAACTTGCGGAAAGAATGCAAGAATTGCGTCGACAATTTCCCGAGTCTATCTTTTTCGACATCGAATTTTTTAATTACCCTTCATGATATTAATTATTCGCCTGGTGAAAACTTTGGTGGTGGATGGAATAAGAGTGAAATATCGTAATAATCGAAGAAGAAAAAAATAATGAGTGAACTAGTAAACGTAACGTACGAAAACGATAATCGTCGAGTGTATCACGTTATGACCCATGCTCCGCGTGTACAAATAAGTGTCCATTTTATACGATATATTATTACGATCATATTTGAGAGAGAAAGAAAGAAAAACTTATCTACTTTACAAAAATATACGCCGTATTTACGTATTATCTCGATGCATAGATTAATCTAAGCCAATTAATTACACTTTTCTTTTTTCCCCGCTCGTTTCTCTCAAGGACTAAGTAACATTTCTTTTCTCTCTCTCTCTCTCTCTCTTCCTCTCGCCTACAACAGTAATCTTCCATCCTCAATTTCCATCGTCCTGGAAAACTTTTCTTCCTTCTGACCGTTTCCAAGATTTATCTCCGCTTCACAAATTTCCCACCTCTTTCCCTCCCCCTCTCCTCTTCCTTTTTGCCCCCTCTCCTTCTTTTCCTCGCGGCCCCAATCTTTTGCGCCCCGCCAAGTCGTCGCGAACAGCCAATGTTTCGAACTCTCTTATCTCAACTAACTCTTTTAAAAAACGTTTCGCCCAAGGAGATATTTATATGGCGGTTTTTACGAACCCTTCCCAGTTACGTTAAACGGAGCGTAACCAGGTGGCGCGGTATGACGAAGGAGCGTGGAAAATCGTGGATTTCCAAATGGGAGGAGGGGAGAGGGGAGGGGTACGATGTAAATCGAGAGGTCGCTTCGAAGTGCATCGTTGCGATATATGGAATGTCGATTGTACGAGGATCAGAAGACGGCTTACGGCCCCTCTCGTCCGAATATCCGCGAGAGAAAAAAAATGAGGTGTACGGAGCGGACATTGTTGTTTAAAAAAAAAGAAAAATATATCGAAATTTTTCTCCCATATTCGATCGAAATGAAAACACTTTTCCAGGAATATGTTGCAAATTAATTTACGGTAAGAAAAAAAAATTTGAAAAATACGTAAATTATTGCCTAGGCTATCATATGAAGATATCTCGAACAGTTGAAAATGAAAAAAGCCCTGTCCTTAACAATAATAATACAAAGAAATTTATGTTTTTTCTTTTATTTTCCTTTGAAGATATTTCTTTCATAAATAAATGATCTCGGGGACAAAATCAATTAGAGGAAAAATCTTTTATTATTTTTTATTTACTTGTTTTATTTTATATATTTATACACATTTAAGCAGAAATTAAAAGAAAACGTTGTGTAAATATACGTTTATAATGATAAAAAAATGTAGGATAGCAACATGCAAGTTGTAATTTTAAGCAATTATTCGTATTTTTGCCTGGATATTTGAGGGAAAAGTTGGTTGAAAAGTTTATCCAATTTCGCGAGAATTTTCGTAGGATGAAAGGGTATAAAATTAAGTTCTATGAAGAGAAGGTAAAGGAGATCGGGACGTTACAAATGCGATCAGTGATTTGGGAAAGGAGAGGAGATGTTTTCTATTTAGTTACACGGACCGATTGATACCGTGTTTGGGGGGAGGGGGGAGAAAGGGGATGGCGGATACGACTTTTCTCGGAATCGGGCTAATGGAAGGGGCTTAACGTTATTTACTTATTGAAAGAAAGGAGGGAAGTATACGAAAAAAAGGTTACTCTCGATCGGCGAGAAAAAACACGTTGAACGAAACTAGAGAACCAACGATTCAACGTTATTTTCAACTCTTGATAAAATTTATTCGTTTTGAGAATCGCTTGTAAAATTATTTACCAAAGTGAAAATTTAAAAAAATTTTAACTCAACTCAATTAAATAGAGTTTAGTAGCTCTTTTAAATACAAATAACGAGTGTATAATTAAAAAATTATAGAAAATCTAACCCTCTGTTGCAAGATTCTTAACTTGATAAAATATTGATGCACTTGAAATTAAAAAAAAAAATTATTTTAAAAAAAATTTTAACTCAACATT